AATAAGCATATAATAACTATATAATTTGTTTAATAAATAATTTTTATAAGAACCGAATTTTTAATTCACCATTCAGTTAGATATTTATAAAATTTACACATTTTTTTAAAAAAGATTATGAAAATACATATTTATTTAAAATTTTAAAATAATTTTGAAATAATCTTTTTTCCTAATTATCATTTTTAAATTATTATAAAATAATTCTAAAGAATGAACAGAAGAAAAGTACTGATTTTATATAAGCAAAAAATGATATTCACCGCAAGGTTGCTCCGGTGCTCGATGTCTCTTCCAGACCTCCTCCTCCTCCTCTCAGAATTCGGTTGACATCCTCTCGCACAGGACACTCGCGAATAATGCACTATAATCGCGCACGGATATATAAAACTGGAGTACGATAACTTGAACGGCACTCCCGAAACAAACGACGCGCGACGTGAAGAACCGGCTGTGATTCGTTCATTTTCAAATAAATCAGTGGCAAGGATACATTAGCTTCTTCGTTGAATTTTTACACGAGAAGAGAACGATTTTAAACGTTTTGAAACATAATCGTGAAAAATGCTAGATATAATACAAAACGTTGTATTTTATGAATACTTACAGTATATGATTACTAGATCGCACGATTAATTAATCATAAAAAGATTAAGATAACAATTATATATCAATAACACGGAACAAATATTTCGTACAATTCATTTATCCTTTTATGAATAATTAATCAGTATTATCAATAATTAATCAGCGAGCTAGTAATCGTATATTATAAGTATTCATATACAGTACAACAATCGTATTATATCCAGTATTTTTCGCGATTATGTTTCAAAAAGAAGTGCGACGAAAAGCGGCATGCGACGCGGCTACCTACCTGTACGAGCCTCGGTAATGGAATAACTGCGCGATAACTACGCGTAAACGTGACGCGCCGTTTGTCCGCTCCCTTCCCCCCCCCCCCCCCCCCCCCCCCGGCCATAAAACAAATCCCAAAGGTCACGCGCTGATCGCCTGTCGAAATATTAATGAATATCAATAACAAAATCAGTAAAATAATCTATTCGTTAAATTTTTAATACTCTTCGATGAATAAACTTTAAATTTATTGCACGATTTATGCTTGATTTCTTGAATTTATTGCGCACATAACTCACTTACATATATATATATATCTTAGATATTTCAAATTGTGTTGCAATAAGATTATATTTAATTTGTTTCACATAATATAAAGTTAAATTATCAATATATACTAATGTACGGCCAATATATATAATGTATTTAAAAAATGAAGATGATTAAAAAATATATTTTTAATAAAGAAGATAAAAATATTATTTAAAATTTATTTTAAAATTTATTTTAAGTAACTTCTTCGGATCTATTTCTTAATTATATTTTAAATAAGTTTTTGGAACTTTATTCTATAGATTCTTTTTAAATAGACCGTAGGTCAGTCAGGAATCGGTTGTGTTAAAAATAATTTTATTTAAAATATGTATTTTAAATAAAAAATAAAGCATTTATTTAATATTTATTATTTTAAGAAACTTTTTCTGACTTATTTTTCACTTAATATTTTAAATAAGTTTTTGGAATCTAAAATACGACGTTCTATATTATCTAATATTGGTCACAAGTATGTTTCAAAGAAAAATGAAGAAAAGTGGCACGATTACGTGCTGCTTGTACGAGACTCTGTAAGGGAATGATTGCGCGGTAACTACGCATATACGTAACGCGCGCTCCGTGCCACCCCGTGCTATCCCCACTCCAAGGTCGCGCACCAATCGTCTAACTGCCGAAATATTAACGCATATTTACGAAGCAAAATAATACATTCTTTACATTTTTAATATTCTCCGATTAATGAAACAATTTTTTATATGTATCTAATTTTAGCGGCGCGAGACGTTTAATGGTAATAATTAAGTGATAATAATTATATCGTGATACATCAAGAAATATATTTGATGTTCATTTTATAATTTTAAATATTTCAATCAATATTACAATGTGTTGACAAAAGGCAAGAAGTAAAAAAAGATTTTTACTAGTGTGGTTTTTCTTACATAAATATCGTGCTCATAAATCACGTGCTAATGAAGTGCTTTTAATATCCTAATATTATATCTCAACATTGCTCTTTTTTATGATTTACAATTAAATAAAGATTAATAATATGTCATACTTCTCATCTTTAAATAAAGATAAATGCAAAATTTATTTTAAATTATTTCGAAACAATTACGATATAAATAGAATAATACATTTAAATAGCATACATTTAGAGATATGTAATTTAAATATAATTTATCTGTTACTTTTCCCATATTAAGAATGCGAAAGAACACGAAAATGACAGAATTATACGATATTCAAAATGATAAAAAAACCATGATTTGAAATATATATCTAACAATAAGAATTTCATTTTTATAACGTGAGAACATGAAATATCTAAAGTATATTTATGAGCAGTGTATATGCGTAATGAATCTAAGAAATAAAACAAAAACAGTGCAAACAAAACCTATTAACTCTTAGTATATTCCTTAGTTTTAGGAAAGTTTACGTAATTCGCGTTCGTAGATATCTACATAATAATCTAATTAATTAATGTGATACCCGGAGCGACTCGTAAAACACATCCATCTCCCTCCGAGATCGCTGAGCGAAGTGATGACGTAGTCAATCACCGCGCCGCGCGAAACACTGCCTCTTTCTTTTCGCGTGACGTGAGAGCGCCTCCCCTTCCCTTCGCTGTTCGTCGCGCGCTGTTTGGATAACCAACTATATTGCGTATGAAAAATATTCACGATTTATTCGTATTTTATTTTACATGATTTTAACAAACGGGTATCGTTATACGTTTTGCGCTTTGCTTTGTGGCATCTCTGGCACTAATTTAATCCTATATTACTTGCATAGTTCTTTTTATAAAATTGTAATTATTCATGTGTGTGAGATATTTTTGATATTTCAACATCATGTCTCAATCTTTATTATACTTTTAAATGATTTATATTTAAATAAATGTTGATAATATTCTATATATCCTTTATATAATATAAAAATATATGCAAATTTTCTTAATATTACGAAACAATTTGCATTCAATACAGTTTTGGTTAAAAGTATTAAATATCTTGTTAATTGTTATTTAATTTTTTCAGCTAAAAAATTAATTTATGACACTATTATTGCTGCAATAAATTATTCTGTTTCAAAAATTCTTTAAACTCTTACATATAATGCCGATCATGACTCGATAAAATAATTGTAATGACTTATTTAAAAAATATAATAAAAAATATAAAATAAGTTTCAGAAACTTATTTAAAATATAAAATCGTAGGAATCAGTAAAAAACTGATACGACTTATTTAAAAAATATAAAATAGATTCGGGAAACTTAATTATTTAAAACATTAATTATTTAAAACATTAAATAACAAATAGATCAAAAATGCAGTTATTTAAAATAGTAAATACTAAATAACTTTTATATTGTTATTTTTTATTTATATTTTTTATTTATATACTTCAAATAACTTTAATATATTCTTAACTTACTATAACTTTAATATATACTTTAAAAAACTTTATTTAATCTTTAGTACACACACTTTAGTTTTGGCTTACTATACACGTTGGATCATTCGTATTCTAGATTAATTTTTATCATTTTTACAAGTATATAAAACTTATTAAACAATTTTTACATATATTTTAACATCTTTCTAAGAAAGTATTTGTAAAGTTAAATTGTATATTTACAACAAATTATATATGTTTCTTATGGAAACAAATCAAGTGCTCCTAATGGAAATAAATCGCTGAAATCGCTAAAATAAATCTATCAAATTAATAGAGATTTCAATGATTTCGGCAATTTATTTCTGTTAGAAGTACCGAAAAAAATGGATATTGTTGTGTAGTTTACATCCACTTCTTTAGAGAGCAATAGTGTACAGGTGCATTTTTGCGATTAAAGAAAAAAAGCCCTTATGCTATGTCTTCTCTCAGGTTTTTCTCTGCTCCTATTCACCAGGAATCGATTCTGTATCTTGAAACGAAGTGAAAATTACTAGAGCGAATTTACTAGAATACTGATAATTTAAATATAATTTAAATATTTCATTGGTCAACACCTAGTAAATTTGCTCACTTTTGTAATTTTCACCTTGTTTGAAAATACAGAATCGACCACCAGGAAAGCCTACTGTACATTGGACATGATGAGTGACAAACGATATTCAATGAAAGCTCTGCTTTTTTTCACGAGTGATGATACAAAGCAAAACTCTCATTGGATATTGCTCATCTCTCATCGTTCATCGTGTTATGCAATAGGCATAAGGATAAGACCAATCATATTAAAGAATTTCGATTCGAGTCAAGGACGAACAATCTCAGTGAGAAATGATAATAGAATCGACATCGAATCGATATCGATTCAAATTCTTTGTTTAACTCACGTAACAGCATGGAAGAGAATCATAAAATCGTGAATATTAAGGCTTAAATACAATAGGCACAAGTAGTAGGCACAGGCAATAGGGAATAACAAGCCGTTCAATCAGAACTCTGGTGTGTAAGTTAGATACTATATCCTACAGCTCTGATTGGATGGCTCATTATTCCTTGTTGTCAGTGCCTATTGTGTTTAAGCCTTTAGCCTACAAGAAAAAGGTAAGGATGGCCATTCAGGCTTCTGATTTCTATTTTACTATAGGTCTGTTATTTTATTGTTGCACTATCTGAACTCATGCACATAGTGCACAATAAATTGAAGTGAAACAAATATACGTTTATTTCACTTTAACTTATTGCACCGTGTGCATCAGCTCAGAGCAGTTCAGAGAGTGCAGGAATAAGAAACAGATCTCATTTTGGAGCCACTCTCATGTAAGTACGCCACATTTTCGACTAAGTGGATACGATGAGATTGTAAACTCCAAAAAAGCAACGATCGCACTAATCGAAATCGAGCTTAGGTCGAATCTTTGAATTACCTTTTCGCATGGTGGTGATGGTGGTCGCGTATTCGCGTCATTCTCTCATATATTTACTGATTTTCGTCAGAGCTGGTGAGAGCGAATCGGCAGACAGTGCAAGGCGATTCAAGTGAATCGTTCTGATACAATTACGTGGATATTTTGAACGCTCGCTACATATATACCTGTACGTTTCTCTTTATCCTATTCTCTGTGAATACCTTAATGATACGTGTCTCTCGATATTTGTGTATAACGACTTTTTATGTGTAACGAAAGAGAGACTATTATCTCAATAGATTGCCTCTCGAGAATAAAATAAATAGGTTATTTCAGTGCATGCGTCATTGTTGAAGTTGCTAATTAAATTACTTTCCGGCTCATTTTACCGGTTTTCACACTGATCGCGTTTGTCTTGGATAGAACACTTACAGTTTTTATTTGATTTTCGAGCCGAGAATATTCTCTTGTCGCCATATCTTGAAGAAGATAATTAAATTTTATATATATATATATATAAA